AGAAAGATTGTGATACTAAACCATGGGTCAATAACGAGCTTTTAGAGCTGATTGCAAACTGTCATCAATCATGTGATCCCGAGGAAAGAAAGGAGCTGTCCAAACAAATAAGAAAGATGCGCATAGCACTGAAAAACAAGTACTTCAGTGAGAAGGCACAAAAAATCAATGCAGCTAGTGAACAAWGAAATGTCGAAGAAGAATTTCGTTTGTCGAAGATTTACTCTTCAATGCCGAGGAAGAACATGCAAGTCATTCACCARCAGAAGCTAGAGAAGCATTTTCCCCAACATTTAGGCCAGCGACCATTCCAACTTCWACCTGAGCTGGTTAAGCCAGAAGAATTTCCGTACATATTACTATCTGAGGATATACAACCTATAGATGAAAACCGCCACCTGAAGCGGCCGAGATTGAACGTTGTCCCAAGAGATTTAACAACGGGAAGTGTCCGGGGACAGATGGCATCTATGWAGAACAGTTGAAGTATTCTCAATCTGCAACACTCCTCCAGTACCTAGTCATCCTACTCAACACAGCATGGACGTGTCTTAAGGTTCCCAGTGTATGGTTAATATCAACAATAACGTGTTTACACAAGAAGGGGTCAAAAAGCCTGTCCGATAATTATCCTGGTATTTCCATCATTGCCACAATGTCAAAGATTTTAGCAGGCATTGTCATTGAAAGAGTAAGGCCAGTCTACGAAATCATCCTTATGGAGACGCAATTTAACTTTAGAAGAAATCGATCGACGTGCGACGCCATATACATCACAAGACATATACTGGAGAAAAAAAGAAATCCGCTGTTTGTTTGCTTCATTGACCTTAAGGCCGCGTATGATTGGGTCCCACGTGAAGCAYTATTTAGAGTGTTGGACATCCGTCTACAATGCCCCAATTTAGTTTCAATATTACAAACACTGTATACTGGCACTAAAGCTTGCATTAAAGGAGCCCAACAGTACTTCAATACGTATGTGGGTTGCCGCCAAGGCGCTCTTGAGAGTTCACCAATATTCAATAACTACATGGACTTCGTAATGCAATGTGCAAAGTACCAAATTTTGAAGCAATGCCTCGATGCAGGAATTCTTGTAGAGTTCTGCCTCCCTAATGAAGTGTCACCTCGAGAGTGCCGAAAACGGGCACCAACATCTGGATGGAGAAGAGTTAGAGTTACTTTATGCTGATGATGTGGCAATCTTCACAAAAAGTGTAGAGGCATTAAACTTGGTCCTATCTATCTATGACAATACTTTTACTCGATTTGGGCTACAGATGTCCTATAGCAAGACCGAGACAATGGCGTTTARCGTTGATGATGCCATCAAAGATCAGAAGACCCTAGTATCAGTAAATGGCGTGGATATCAAGAATGTCCGGACATTCCGGTATCTGGGACATGTAATCAGCAATATAAGCAACTCAGCAGCAGCGTTGCATGCCAATATCGCATCTGCATTTAAGAAGTGGGATGAACTGAAGAATTGTTTGATGGACAGAGAAATTCACTTATCTATGCGCATGAAGGTCCTTACCTCATGTGTCAGATCACGTTTATTGTATAGCATTCAGGCATGTCACCTGTCCGCCTCAGAACTACAAAAGGTTGAGAGTGTGTGGAATAATTTTCTAAGGAAGATGGTATCGGGAGGCTATGCAAGGAAAAGTGTTCCTCGCAACAAGCAAAAAAAGGGTGTCGACCCAGCTACCTTGGTGGAAGGACAGCTGGATTGGGGAYATAAAATATCAAATGAGCGACTACGGGAAATAACAAAATCCAGTTCCATCCAGGATTATTGCCATGTCCAACATCTTAAATACATGGCCCATGTTTGTCGCATGGAGAATGACGCCCTCCAGAAACRGGTCCTTTTCGATTAAAGGAACACYTCAAGAGTTTGGAATCGAGTYGAGGATCTCCTCCAAATAGATCCAATGCAAGCCAGAAAAAKGATGATGGACAAAACCAAGTTCAAACATCTGCTCAGAGGACGTTTCCCGGAGCAGTTGTGCCCTAAGGCCAAGGACGGGCCGAGAGGGAAAACCTGATGATGATAATGATAGCTTACTGTCCAAATTCTTTTTCGATACGAGACAGGGAAGATGTTGTATTTAGCCGGTAAAGTTTGGCCGTTTGAGTCCRCCATTAAGCGATTGCGTTCCTGGCAACTTTTAGTGATTCGAAGGAAGAGACGTCATACGCGCCACCCTTCAAAATTCGCGGCTTTTCACMATGTGTAATTGCAACCAAATTTCGACTATTTTTGATTTAAAAACAAGCTTTACACCAAGGCATGCCTTCTTACAGAGAACATTGTAGAGTCAGTGTGGGTAAAAAGGATGCCAGTTGCGCGTATG